AGTGACACTAAACGTACTTTCAAACCATCAAAGGCTTCAGCGCTTTCAGAATCCTCGGTGGTTGGCTCGCACTGAATTAGCAGAAGTCAAGACCCAGGAGGGTGGGGGTGGGGGGTGGTGTGGGGGCTGAGTCGATGCGACCACTCAAAACTTGCGCAAGTGTGTCAGCATTCATCCCGCGGGCCCTGGCAAATAAATGCCGGTGCTGCTCGTCACTTTCAACATGCGCTTACTCTCTTTGGACCATTTTACCGAAGGCCTCGCTCAACTCCAAATCAGACTGGACATCGGCATCGGCGTCATCGGAGCGGATAAAAAGTCATGCGGCTCGATGGTGTTTTTAACGGAATTTAAGCGGGGGTGAGAGACAGCTCGGGGAGAGTCAACGCCGATGGTGGGATGGAGGGAGGTGTGGAGGAGTGCGGCAGAAACTTCCCATGCTGGCCTCCCAGTGTGGCTACGTAATGAGCGCAAGGGACACACACACACGCGCACACACACACATTTGGGGGCCAAGCATGGCCCCACGGCTGATTAGCGGCACACAAAGGCCCCAAACAGAAGTAGCGGAGGGCTCACAATGGGAGCAGGGCCTCAAGGCGTGGCTTACTTCTGCCCTGAGGGAGGGGGCGAGAGAGGTTAAGAGACAGCGGGTGCGAGAGAGAGAGAGTGGGGGTCCCACCGAGCTGGACAGAGAACCAAAAGTTGGGGGAGGGTTGGACGTGAGACAGGACGGCTTCGACGAGCGAAGAGAAGTGGCAGACGTGGAGAAGAGTTGAGTTTTTGTCCTCACGAAGGCGTCAGCGGGCTCCGTTGGCGTCAGTGTTGTCAATGAGTCATCCGGGGGTCCCGTCCGGTCAGCGGCACATGCCGGTTGCCGCACACTTGTTGAGCGGCAGCGCCCGATGTATCGAAATGTTGGGTCGCGGTCCCGCCGCGTGTATCACATCGACCCGTTCAAACGTGAGCACCGCCGTTTGTCCTCCTGCGGTTTGAAGAGGCCTTTTGGGGGCATCGGCGAGCTCACCAAACAGTCAATAAACGTATCGGAATGTGGCCAATTTCATCAAGGAGGTTGCATGAAGGAAAATCATCCTGCTCCAGATCCATCTTGGAAGAAGATCCTTCCAAAATGCATCTGGACTCAAATGTTTTCATTTTTCTGCAACCCCTCCCGAAAGTAAAAAAAAAAAGAAAAAAGTACACTTCATGTTGGTTTCTTGTTGAGCAGTTTTGTGCCATCCTTGAACGGTCATTTTGATGCAAGAGGGCTCTTTGCACCGGAAGGAGAAAAAAAAAAAAAAGACATGCGGTTATTTTGATCCAAGCCTTTGATCCTACACGCTTTGAAAAATGTATCTTCAAAAATAAAATACTCTACTTTAAATATCTTGTATGTATAACTTTTGTTCATGCTGCCTTAATGAAAAAAAAAAAAATCCATCCGTCACTTCTCAGATATGAATTGCACGTGGCCATCTGGGAATTCTCCCAAGATTATTCTCTCGCAATGAGTCATGAGTCCAACCGTCCAATTTCAGAACGGAGTTGCTCTGTCCGGGGCGCCACCGGCACTTCATTCGCGAAGACGCTGTGGAATCGTCCGTCTTGCTTCCTTAGCCTCTTTTTCGTGGCATATGGGCATGGTAAAAAAAACCCAACAACAACAACAACAACAACAACAAAAATTCAAATGCTTCTCTGTAATTATGAACACAAAATCGTCTTAACTCTCGGCGGATTATAGCTTCATAAGACACAAATTTCCACAGGAGGAACGGGAGTGAGATGATATTAAATCGGGGAGTGATTGAGTAATTCCACAAAGACCGTTTTTTTTTTTTCTCCCCCCTCTCCCAGTCTCCTGTCCTGTTTTTCCAATTACTTAATGCTCTTTAAATATACTCAAGTGAATACATGCTAACGGTCCACTGGAATAAGTCAGGCGGTAATTGTAATTTGATGAATCGTGACGGGAATCCATCGGGAGGACCCCAGCCAAAGTAAAATAAGAAAATAGACAATTAGTTCCAAAATAAAGACATACAAATAATTACAGGCCTTTAGAATCCTCGGCGCACTCGAGGCGACGCTTTTAAAGACCGCTCGTTTTCGACAAGACGCTCGACACGTCGTTTGGCTGCTCCTCGACGCTTGGAATTTACAGCGCAGCCCTTTGGAACATTCGAACATCGCGTTGCCGAACAGACACGACGCTCGGCCGCTGCTCCGTGTCTCCTTTGAGCCGCCATTTCCGGTCCGGTCGAATTTTGAAAGATATTTGACGTGCCAAAGACGTGACTCGTCACTTTTGAAATGATCTGAGCTGAAAGCCAGACGGAAAACACCAGGTCGGAGCTTGACTTCAAATGAAAGCTTTTGTGCTTTCAAAATGGAAATCACGCAGCTTGCTCTTAAAGTGCATGCAAGTCCTTTTTTTTCCCTGTACTCAGATATCGTGTAATTGCACATCCACTACAGTAGGTGGCAGTGGTGCTGAATTGTCAGAGTGTGCGCAGGGAGTTTAAACAATGTTGATAAAAGCCCAAATACGAAGAAAAAAAATGGTGCTAACCTGGGCACTGGCCCGGAATTAGCACTTGCACAAGCGCGGTGGAAAAGGGCCATGAATGTTTTTTCTGGATGGACTAGACCCCGCCCCCCCCCCACACACACACACACAAACACAAAAAATATATATAAAATAAAATCTTCCATCATACCTTGCAATCTGCACCCAGCAAGATTTTCTTTTTCAAATCTGATGTAATAATGTCTCGAGCGAATACTGTGAAATTGTGCACACGCGTTCCGTTGGGACCGCTGCGCACATTGACACGGAAAAGGTGATTTTTTTGACTCCAGAGAGGCTCCCCGGGAAGACAGACATGATTGAATTGGCTGCGTGTGTGCGCGCGTGCACTCACGGGAACATCTCCAACACTGCGTGTCCTAAGTTTTGAAAACGTTTTCATTCAAAGCCGTACACTAATTTTCTGTTGTGCAATACCGATAACTCAAACACTAATAAAACTGCTTATTATTTGGCTGCGGGATTCAAGAATGCCCTTTTTTTTGTTGTTCCTCAAGAGTGAGCCTTTCGCGGATGATTGCACCGAGTGACTGAAGACTTTCGTGTACGGGACATTGACGACGGCGTCCACGGCTCAATCTCACCGTCACGCTGACAATCCGTTCTCTCTTTTGTGCAGGAGCCAGCAAAGGTGTTGCATCAGACCAGCGGGCGAGCACGAGAGTCGGCGACAACGCTGACATCACGCAGGCACGCGTTCGCACCGCCGGGGTGCGTTGTCGGGGTGTGGGATGATTCCTGGAGGAGAAGCACACTGAATCGGGCTGAACTGAAAGAACTCACGTCAAATGTCCTTATGTATGGAATGAAAATGCCGTCGGTGCACGGACGTCTTCAATACTCATCAGCTCCTACGTTGACTCGTCGACGAAATCGTGTATCTGTGCGATGCCGGGATGGTCGGAAAAGGTTCAGAAAGAGCATCCTTGGACTCCAAAATGCTCGACAGTGAACTTCATGACCTGAAATGTTGCTTCCATATTTTTTCGTGACATTTTTTTCAAGAACAAGCTGATTAAATGTCTTCAATGTATTTCTTCTTTCAATAAATGCGCTCAAGCGGAGGCCAAGAGTGGCGGTTCCGCCTCAGATCGAATGACGCAGACGCCCCAAATCTGGACAAAGCTAACCAGCTAGCTTCTTGTTTAGTTTTCTCTAAACACGCACACACACACACACACACACACACACACACACACACGCACGCACGCACAAAGTGAGGAGTTCGAGAAGCGTGGCCTCCGGTTATCTGTTGTAATGGGTGTAAATGATCACATGACGGTGGTCGTAACTCAAAGCTCTGCAGGCAACTGATGGAAACTGACTGCGTGTGTGTGTGTGTGTGTGTGTGTGTGTGTGTGTGTGTGTGTGTGTGCGTGCGCCTAATCTTTTGATGCTCTTTTTGTCTCTCCCCTTCCCATCACTCCCTCTTCGTGTCTTCCTGCTCATCGTCGATGCCTCCGGTGATGAAACCGATTCTGTTCCTGTATGCTACACTTCTGGTTTCTACTCTGAAGAACTACACACACACACGCGCACACACACCCACTAGCCCCCGCTCCCCCTTCCTCGAGCGCACAATGCGCACGCACACTAAGACACACACTACCCTGCTCTCAAGAAGGGCATGAGTGAGTTTAACCTTATTGATTTGGTCTTGCCTATATTGACCCGGTTCAAGCTCATCAATCAGCGATATCAGTGTTTGCTGGGCGGAGATGAGTCCATAGTGATGAATTGCAGATTAGTCAAACACGCTCAAGAGCGGTAAGCGATTTCGTCGCCGGCGTGGTGTAAAATGAGCAAATTAATGGCCACATTTTGTTCTTGTACAAACTAATAGTTCTCTCTCGCCCCCCCCCCCCATTTCATGGCTGTACGCACGAGCTCCAGAAATCAACAGAATCCGCCAATAAGCGAAAGAAGATGCGATCAACCAAAAAGGTAACAGTAACAAATTGACCCAACATATAAAGCTAAGCGCGCAGCTGATGGGCAGCCATGACGTCCGAAGACCAAGCTAGTTCGTCAAGAGAAGTTCCCTCCCGGCGCGACGTGGAGGAGGAAGCTGTTGCGTGTGCTATGTCGTCAGAAACAAGGCAAGACAAGAAATCTGTTGAATCATTTGAACGGGTAGCGAAAAATGCGAGCGGCGTTTGAAAAGCCCGCCCACGAGCAGTTAGGTCGCTAATAACTAGCGCGCCGGATGAAAACAGCCATCAATCGTTTGATCGGTCACATTAGCAAGTAGCAACGATGCTAACGCCGATCGTAACTTTAAAATTCGTATGTTGACATTATGACATTTATTATATGGTCATTTTCTTAGTAGTTCACAAATGTTCTGTTATTTTAGTCTACATTCTTGTACAGTAGAATAACACTGTCTGAAATGAATGACAAAAAATAAATAAAAAAATATCAAGGTCAATAAAATGTTGAATGACTATAATTCGCTTTGTTGTCCGTAGCAGTGCTTTAAAATGGCCGATTCAAAATCAGCGAAAAAAAAAAAGAAAGGTTGCCAGTCCGCGAACAGCATGTACTTGTCTCAACCGGTCCGCGCCACAAAAAAAAAAAAAAAAAGAGGTTGGGGACCACCGATGTCGATGAGCCACACACACAACGGCTTGCTCAATATGGCCAGATTTCTGCGTGGTATTGCAGAGAATTATGTAAGGTGTCATCAAAAGTGTGTCAGCGCATGCATGCGCCGCACGCGTGTCCCGTGTGTGTGCGTCTCAAGCCGCAGTCCCTCGTCTAGTTAGCTTACGCGCGCAGTCCCAGACGGCGTAATTGAAAACCTCCACCTTGAACAATGTTGGCTTGCCCTCAAGGTCTGCGCGGCGCTCGCTCCATCTCACCTCGCAGGAGCAACGAAGAAATCATTTTCCAGTTGCCTTTTGAGGTCAGTGAGAAGGCAGCCTTGGCGCGCTTCTGTCGGGTTCTCTCCGCGCATGGCGCCTTCATTACATAAAGCCGGAGAGGGACTCCTTCGAATATTTTGCTTTTCTTTTTTCTTTGGGGGGGGGGGACGACGAGTGAAAACCATCAGAGCGATGCAAGTGCGCTGGTCTCGCCACTACTTTTACGCGTGTTAGCAACAACCCGAGCAATCTGTGACAGTGAGCGAACATGTCAGTTCGCCCCCGTTATTTGGGATCTTCGGAAACAACGTAAAGGCGGTGGTCCGGTGGTTAGCGCGTCGACCTCGCAGTGCGCAGGTACCGGGTTTGATTCCAGCTTCCCGCCTCCCTATGTGGAGTTTGCATGTTCTCCCCGGGCCTGCGTGGGTTTTCTCCGGGTATTCCGGTTTCCTCCCACATTCCAAAAACATGCGTGGCAGGCTGATTGAACACTCTAAATCATAAGTGTCAAACTCAAGGCCCGGGGGCCAGATATGGCCCGCCACATCATTTGATGTGGCCCTTGAAAGCAAATCAAACAAGTTGACTTCTATGATGCTTGCTAAAATTTGGACCAACATTTCAAATTCTCGAATGGAACATATAAGAGAGCTATTGTAAGTTTTATTGTTACCAAAACCCTCATTACAGTAACTTAAACTATAGTTGATTATTCTTGACTTCCTTATGTGGTTTCACAGTCATAACGGCCCTCCAAGGGAACCGGTAACTATAATGCGGCCCGCAACAAAAATGAGTTTGACACCCCTGCTCTAAATTGTCCCTCGGTGTGAGTGTGAGCACGGATGGTTGTTTGTCTCTGTCTGCCCTGCGATTGGCTGGCAACCGGTTCAGGGTGTCCCCGGCCTACTGCCCGAAGACGGCCGGCAGAGGCTCCAGCACCGCCCCGCGACCCTTGTGAGGATAAGCGGATCGGAAAATGGAAGGATGGATGGAATGGAAACAATGTAAACCTTCGCACGTGACAAGCCCGCCGCAGCAGCGAGGGCAGCCTGGTAGGGGCCCCGTAGGCTTCAACAAAGTGTCCCCGGTTTCAACCCGTTGCGACACTCGAGCTCACTCTTCCATTTTTGTTTTCCTCCCGATGACCCAGTGAGGAACAACGTCACACCTTTCTCTTGCTACGCTCGACCTCGTTTGCAAACAAGGCATTTTTTCCGATTGACGTCTCGTTGAGCACAAACCCACTCGCTGTTTGTTTGTCCTTCTCAAGTTTAGGGATTGTAAGTAGAATTGATAACATTAAAAAAATAAATAATCATAATAATAATAACAATAATGAAGCACACTAAAGTCAACTGCTTGGCGGGCAACATGAGCAGATTTCGCGCTCCGGCTATAAATAAACGACCTTGATGGCCAAACCCTTTGACGCACGGCGAAAATATGCTTGCCAGCCAAGTGCAAACAGAGGCAACAAAAGTCGCCTTGTGGTATGACGGCTTCATCTGTCGACCTCTCTCGTTTGTCTTTTTCAAAACAAAAATATATCAACGTTCATTCTCTACACACTCGCCCATTCCGTTCTGACTTCGATGCCCCTTTCCTCTCTCACTTGGGCTCCGCCACCGAGTACTCGAGTGGCTTTCTTTCCACCGTGGCTTTTAATATGAGCTTCTTTCTACTTCCATATTGAAGTACCAAGATGGTGCGAGCGCGATAAAGGAGTCGATCCACGGCCCACGCGGGCCCGTTTCCATGAGTTGAAGGTTGCGCCTGTGGAATTTCTGCCTCATCGAGGGCACTCTCGTACGTATGTCATACGTCAAGACGCTTGACAAGCGCTCATTTTTCATCCAACGCGGCAAACAAAACACATCCACGAGCTGGATTAGTCAACTGGTTCGACGGGATGCGTGGGGAGCTCCTCGCCAACGACAGACCTCAAACTAATCTTTGCATTTTTTTGGGGTCTTTCTATTTGAAAGTCTCAGGCCCCTTGACTTCAAGGTGCCATTTCCTTCGACAGCGTCTCTCTGCAATAAAAGACGATTTGATATGAATCGTGATATATTTCAAAGTGGAACAATTTGAGATAGATAAACACACACACACATATACATATATATATATACACAGGGATTTCCGAATGCATCTTGAACCCTGGGAATGCGCAGAGTAATTCTGACGAATCAGTAACGGCTCTTCGGTCTTTGTTTCCTGCACGAGGGCGAGTTTTACCGCCTCTTGGAACCACATCGATTCCAATAAAAATGTTTTTCCTATTTTGCGCACGGCAGCAGGCGTTTGGTTGATTTTCTGGCACATGCCGTTTTTGCTGCACCCTCTCAAGAGGCATTAGGGAAGAAAGTCACAGAAATTTCATTCAAGATTTTTTTTTTGATTTGATTTATTTCTGGTGTTGGAATCACAAATCTGAAAATCTGTCACTTTCACATTGATTTTTTTTTTTTTTTCCTGTTGTTGCTGTTGTGCACTGGCGCAAAACACGGTCGTGTGACTTCCTCCGGACCACTTTGGTGGTTGAGTTTTAAAAAATGTTCTCCATCTGTCTGAATGTTAGGCAAAGGCGAGCTTTCGAATCTGATCGGCGGAGTGGCCTTTTCCACACAAACAAATAGGCAGAGAGTACAAGCGGGAGAAAGCAGACACACCTGAGAACCTGCATGTTCTGTTTGAGAAGGGAGACCTGTTGTTACCTGCCTCCAGGCTGGCTTCACACTCACACACACGCAACAAGGACACACTCGCTCGGCGGCTAAACAAACCAGCCACCCCAGCTGGGCGCGAGAGTGCGTGTGCGTGTGTGTGTGTGTGTGTGTGTGTGTGTGTGTGCGTGTGTGTGTGGACAGGCAGACCCTCCATCAGCATCCTGTCACACACAAGATGTTTATCCAATTTGTCAAGATAATCTTTCCTCAAACTGGCTGCCAGGTAGCCTGCCACAGCACTCGCACGCGCACACATGCACAAAACTCACACACCTGGGGGGGGGGGTCACTGATATCCACTGCTTGGCCTGAAATGGAGGCCCTCTCTTCCACAGCGCACCACCTGCCCCCCCCCCAAAAAAACAACCCTGTTTAATTCAACATTTTTTTTTCAATAGAGCACTTGAAAACAACCACCGCATGGAATCAGAATA